GAGAATTGGTTGAATATCCGCTACATATATTTATACAAAAACAAATGATCAAATACTACAACCGCGCAATAAACTCGCCTAACGTACTAATTAAAGAAGCAGCAATACTTAAACAAGCAAATGAACAGTAAATGGTATATCGCAATAACGACACAATTTAACAACATCAATGAAAGTGACACAATTAATTTGGACAGAATAACAACAACTGTTGAAAACAAAAATTTACAAATATAATTGGAAAAACAATTTAAACAGTACTGGAAAGAAGAATTGAATAATGATCGAGAGGATAATAAATTGAGAACATACAGAAAATTTAAAAATAAATTTGAATTAGAATTAGAAAACTATTTGATATCACTGAAAAATATTGAACAAACATTATGTAAATTTCGACTAAGCAACCACAATTTAAAAATAGAAACAGGACGACATTCCAAACCAAAAACACCTGTAAAAGAAAGAGTATGTGAACTTTGCACAAAAAACCAAATAGAAGACGAACAACATTTCATTATGACTTATCCATTTTACAATGACCAAAGAAAATTAATATTTGAGAAATGTAAGAAACAAATTAATAATTTTACAATTAATGAACAATTTGCACTGACAATTTTACCTCATTTCATATCACACTCGGACAATTCATTAAAACTGCCCTCGACTTAAGACAGCAATACCTCCAAGATTGTTAACCCTTAATGCATTAACGCATCATTATTGTTATTACTTTTTTAACAATGGTTTCTTCTACCTTTATTATTGCTGTTAGCGGGAAATATAAATATTCAATACATAGCACAGAAACATTACACGATGGCAGTAAAGGTAAAAACCATAAAAACAAGTTACGAATCTATAGGAAAATTAAAACAGAATTTGCATATGAAAAACAGCTCACCACAATTAAAAATTCAAATCATAGAGCTGCTATGACAAAACTCAGAATAAGTACTCATACCCTTCAAATCGAAAGGGGCAATTATAATAACATTCTAGCGGAGGACCGAATTTGCCCAGTTTATGACAAACAGGAGATTGAGAACGAAAAACATTTTCTTTTCAATTGTAATCTATACAAGGAGGAACGAGAAACCATGATCAAGAATATTAAATATAATAAAAGCAACTTGAGGACGGATGATGAACTAAAAAGTAAAAATGACAAAACAATTATGAGCTAGGAAAATTCATCCACACTTGTTTCAAATTACGACAAGAACAAATCCTAACATGCCAGATGCCTCAACCACCAAATATTTTTTTTTCATTATTCAAATGTCTGTGATTGTCTTGCGTTTTTTTTTTGTTTGCTATCTTTTTGTGTTACCTTACTGTATTTTCAACTAAGATCCTACTCTGGGATACGGTTCTAATAATAAAAACAAACATGGCTGCCACTATGCAGGCTTTGACCGGACTTCACAAAGAAGTTCGCTGATTCTGTTCTAAACTTTTCAAAAAATGTATTCAAGTATTCTCAAGCTTTAGTCTAATTGGTTTTGAACTTTAGGTCTCGTGGACCTTTGGGCAACTGGGATGACCCCGGTCATGTTCGGCCCGGACAATCGCATTCTGTCTTTGCAGTCCGGGGCAGTCCCGGACAGTCGCATTCGAAACCACGAAAATTAATTATAATACTTCAGCCGGAAACAAGTATTAGCGATTTTCGTGGTTCGGAGCGTGCTGGTTAAATTTACAAACATATGCTTGCTTTACATTACTAAACTGTTTTAATTCCATAATTTCTATTATTTTGAGCAAGGGCAAGGTCCTGTACCGGGGCATAGTTGCTCGGTCCCATAGACTTCCACGCATTGAGACGAATAGATCGTCAAGCCCCTGTGGTTTGGTCAGTCCCGAAGAAATAATTAGTAGCACCCTATCGGGGTGTTAAAGTTTTAATTCGTGCACTGCATCAACGTAAAGCAGGAATCAAGTGGTTGAGGTAGACAGTGTACAAATAGAACATTTTGCAACCGACAGGGTAATACTCACTATGCAAAATACAGACTAGAATCCTGGACAAGCAAAGCCGATAGATATTCTCTTGCCGAACCCCTTCCTGCTCAACTTAGACCGAACTGCGCATCTGCATCTGTGATTTGCCTGTAAAATTGCCAAGTTTTTATTTATAATATTGGGAATACAATGCCTCTCTGGGTCGTACGTTAAGCGATGGACCAATCATTTTTACTGGTGTCTGATCCACAGTTCTTCAACCTGATCAACACGATAATTCCATGATT